AAAAAAATAGGAAGAAAATGGCAGAGAAAAATCTAAGTCCAAAAACATAGTAAAAAAATAGGAAGAAAATGGCAGAGAAAAATATAAGTCCAAAAACATAGTAAAAAAATAAGAAGAAAATGAGTAAGAAAATCTAAGTCCAGAAACATAGTAAAAAAATAGGAAGAAAATGAGTAAGAAAATCAAAGTCCAGAAACATAGCAAAAAAATAGGAAGAAAATGGCAGAGAAAAATTTAAGTCCAAAAACATAGTAAAAAAATAGGAAGAAAATGGCAGAGAAAAATCCAAGTCCAAAAACATAGTAAAAAAATAGGAAGAAAATGGCAGAGAAAATTTAAGTACAAAAACATAGTAAAAAAATAGAAAGAAAATGAGTAAGAAAAATCAAAGTCCAGAAACATAGTAAAAAAAATAGGAAGAAAATGGCAGAGAAAAATTTAAGTCCAAAAACATAGTAAAAAAATAGGAAGAAAATGGCAGAGAAAAATCTAAGTACAAAACATAGCCAAATAGGAAGAAAATGGGTGAAAAAGGGCAAAGTCCAGAAACAAAGTGAAAATATAGGACGAAATCTGGTGACAAAAAATCTAAGTCGAAAAGAATAGGGAAAAAATAGTAAGAAATAGGTTAAAAATAGGAAGAAAATGGCAGAAAAAATCTAAGTCCCAAAACATAGTAAAAAAATAGGAAGAAAATGGGTGAAAAAATCAAAGTCCAGAAACATAGTGAAAAAATAGTAAGAAATAGGTAAAAAATAGTAAGAAATAGGTAAAAAATAGGAAGAAAATGGCAGAAAAAAATTCAAGTCCAAAAATATAGTAAAAAAATAGGAAGAAATAGGTAAAAAAATAGTTATCAAACCACCAATTCCTAGAAATAGAAAAAAAATAGGCTGTCATATGCTATTTTTAATCTATTTTTAATAAAAAATAGTGTTTAAATAGGGTACATTCACATAAAAATAGGAAATAAATAGTGAAAAATAGGAAAAAAATATATTTTTCCAGAGCCCATTTTGACTAGGGTCATTACGGGAATTAATAGCAAGAATGAATTTAAAAATTAAGTATTTTTGACCTACTGAGTCCCACAAAATCTCTTTTTTTTATAGCTGAAATATTTCAAAATACTTTCTTGAATCACTGCAAACTCCAAGTGAAGCCAAAACTATAATTCATGTGCTAGAAACACGTTTTTAAATCAATAAGCCAGTTCACAGATACAATCTGCGCATGGGCAGATAAAGGTCATTTGTACCAAACTGGTAAAACCAACAGAGATGAATACTGGATATGCGCTCATGAAAGTTATGTAACATTATTCATTTATGCACCAACGGTACATTCTATGATACGCAGGTGGAAGTATTCTTTTCAAACCGGTCAAACAAAAGGTATTCATGAAGCACGTCTAGGACTTTGGCAGTTATAGATGCTCAAAGTGGAATTTCTCCTTGTGTAAAAGATCTGTGGATATTTGCGGTCATTTGTACCATGTGCTATCTGTAAACTCCCTTAAACCCAAAACCGCCTTTCATCACGTATTTTATCGGTATATGCATACATACGTACATTCTTCGTGTTTGCCATTGTTCGCAGGAAATTTTAAAGGGGAAGTCCACCCTGATACAAAAATGAGAGGAACGGGTCAGTAAAAGTTTGAGCAAAACTTTTTTTTTTTAAATAGGCAACTATGTGACGTTTTTTGCGAGGTCCTCTACAAAATTTAGATCTTGCATTTGACCTGTACTAAATAACTTCTAAATCTATATCCCAATTAAAGATCAGTAAGCTTCATTTCTGGTAATGATAGAAAATTAATTCTCACAGAATCCAACAAAACTTCTACTAATGTTCAAAATTACAAATTAATGACATGTGCCCAACGATTTTGGTAGAACATGATTGTGTAGGGGCTGAGTAATGAGCATAGAAAGATAAGGAAATCAAGTTAAGTAGACCCGACACCATGTGCTTTAACAAAGGTCACTATTCATGTGCAAATAAGAGTTGAGGTTTTTATTGGAGATGATTTCCAGCAAGTTTTTATTTTACTGGTTCAAACAATCTATCTACTGCAGGATTAACAATCCATAATGCCATGATGAATTAAAGTCATGTTCTCCCGACATACGATGCCCATACCAGAGTTCAAGATTAGCACTAAGAAAATTTTCAATCAGACATTCACCCAAAATGGCAAATATGTTCTTATACAACATTTGTATGAAACAAATCTATTCCGTTATCAATATAACTAAGACATTGAAATATTATGACATTTTCTGTACAGAGCAATGTGGACAGGAACTCGTAAGATACGTCGATCAGAGTGCTGCCAATTTGTGTTTCACTGTTGACAACTTCAAAAAGTCAAATGTTCACTCAATATTTTTCTCTATCATTTTCTGCTTTATTAAAGCCAACCCAAAATAAGGGTGGACTTACCCTTTAAGTGAATTCATCCCCATTGACCTTTGGGCCGTGACAATGCTTGTTGAGCTATATGATAGTGTTGATTTATGATTGGCTGTATATACAGCATACTCCGGACCATATGTTAATAGAGAGGGAAATATGCTTTCGTCATTAATATAGTGTAAGCCTGCGTATGAACAATACATCAATAATAATTGTATTGCTCAGTCATCCCCACACTACCGTATTTGGAGAAGGTGTGAAGGGGGATCGAAGGGTTGAACTTCCGACCAAGAAAGTAGGCCTTATAGTTAATAAAATATTAATGATAATCATGAAAACAATAATAATAACATCAATAATAATACTAATAATAAATGAAAATGAAAATATTATTAATATCTTTTAGTATTATAATCCAAAGGGGGGGGGGGTAGTGAGCACTAGATTGTTTTTCACAAATTTGCCCCCCGAAATTTGAAAAAAAAGTCTCGACCAATATTTCGGGGGGGGGGGGGGTTGTAAAAAGCACTACAACAAAAAATCATTTTGCCCTCGACATTCATTTCTTTTTTGGGGGGGGGGGGGGCGGGGGCAGCCCAAGAGGGGCGGTTAATATCACTTCCCCCCCCCCCGAAAATTTGGCCGATCGATATTTCGTTTCGTTGTGGGGGGGGGGGGTTATGTCACCCTGTTTTGGTCACCCATTAGCACAATTTTTGTTATTACAAATAAAACTAAGGGGGTTCGACCTACCCCCCCCCCCCCCCCCCCTGCGTACGCGCCTGCATAGAATACAAAACTTGGGTTTCCTGTAGTACGCAGAAAGCCTAAATTATGTATTCTTTCATCAATATTCTACTTTAAATAAAATTGTTTTGAAAATTCTTGCAGCAATAACCCTCTTTCACATTATGATACGATTTAAGAGAACTTTGCCATCAAATTTGTGGGGCTCCCTACACTTGACTTTTACAGTCAAACCTGCTTTAGTGACCACCTGCTTACAAAGACCACCTGTCTCTAAACACCACATTATTTTGTTGTTTCTCTTGAAAATGGTTTCTCGTTGAAACATGTTCTAAAGGAATCTCTCTACAAAGATCACCTGTCTATAAGGACCATTTTTTGAGTTTCCCTTGGGCGGCCGCTGTAGACAGGTTTGACTGTATAAGATTGGGCCAAGTACGGACCCTTGAGGGACTCCTTAGGACATGGTATGTCTGGATGACCGCTCGTTTCCAATCACTGCGGTATGAGTGCGCTTGGATCGTTGACTGCTTGCCAGGAATGGATGTACGTAATATTATTTCACTCACAAACCAGGCGAGGACAATCCAGGGTAGAAAGAGGTGTGCTGCTGTTAGTATTTTGTGAATGGGGGTGGGGCGGAGGCGGAACGTGACACACCGGGTGAGGGGATAGAGCGTGCGGAAAAGTGTCATCGACATCCTTAGAGAGATGTGAAGATACAGGGTAAAGTTCAATGTCAGCGGGGTATATGGGCTGTATGCGGGTAACGCATTTCCCTGACAGCGAACACTGACTGGATATACACAAACGAGAGAATTTTCCCATGACTCCGTCACAAACCACTGACCAAACTGCAAATTTGAGATTCGCATGGATTCTAATGATATGATATCTAAAACAATCCTAACTATATCTGTATTATTGGCCTGATTTATTTCAAACCTTAATTTAGGATAAATGTAATGTTCATTTTTAAAGCTGATTGATAACGTATCATTGCAAGAGTAGGTGATGCATTAATTGCTATCCTGAATATGTGACCAAAAATTACACGCAGAAGGGACACACATCGTGAAAAGATAGTCAGTTTCGGAATTCCCCAGACATTCTGCTAACCTTTACCCCTACTTCCCCGACAATTCAGAAAATTCAGATTCTAAAAAGAGTAACTTCTACTCTTTGTAAAGAGGACATTAATAGTTGCTCTATAAATCAGAGCATCTTGACAAGTACGATGCTGATTTTCCAATCTGGTACGTATACATGCTGCCTTATAAATGAAATCGGAAACTTGACCTAAAACACGACGAACCTACAATGTCATCGGCGTATTCCGCTTCAAAAAGGGTATGTGCCCCCCCCCCCCCTGGCCGTTTTTAGTCAGGTATAAGAAAATTCGATATGTCTTTTAGCAGTCCCAACTTTGTGGACAAAATGAAGGATGCCGCCCCTGTTAAACCGTTTCTGATATGACACTGGGGGTTGTGCATGACTCCTCGCTACTCCCTAAGTCGATATGATGCCGCTATATCAGGGGGGCGACGGGCCTTGTCCCCCTGTCAAAAACAAACGTTTAAACAAATGACGGGCCCCCACCCCTGGCAAAAAACAAGTTTTAAAAAATGGTAACCGCCATTTTTGTTTAAATTATTTTTTAGTGCTCGATCAATACCCCCCCTCCTTCCGTTGAGCGAAAATAACAGTCTGCACGATTTTCAACCCCCCCCCCCCCCTATTGGAAAATCCTGGATCCGCCACTGACCGTCACCCTTTGGACTTGACGATATATATACACATACATATATATACGATATTGGCACGGCTGGCACTCTGCCCTGGGACTGTCGCTCACCTTACACCCAGCCCATGCACCGTCGCCATTTCCCTTCTCCAATATCGCGTGGATTATCAACGTCACATCACTAACCCACCATGTTTTCTGTTGGGAAATTGATCTCGGCGACGACATCTGCCCGTCAGCATGCGGGCAGGACGCTGATGAGGACGTCCCAGTATTCGGTGGCGGCCATTCCAGCACCACAAAAGAATCCAGATATCCAGCATCATAAGGTATGTATGTTGTCACCCTATATACACAATATAGCAATAGAAACGTGTATATAGCTTTGAAAGGGATTCACTATAGTGATACGAGGAGGGGGAATTACTAAAGGTTTCTAGTTATTTTCGGTATTGAACATGATTTAAAAATAGAGCTTGTGTAAAATTTGGTATGGATTAAAAAAGAAAGATTGGACACAGTGTCTTTCGACATTCTGTAATATCATATTTTGTTTCACGCTCACTTAATGAAATTTCCCAGATCATATTTCCTGCGAACATAACTATGTATATATCCGGCTAGCATACATTAATGTCACGTTTTGAGGTAATATTTGAGGGCTTAAATTCCGGTTGTAGGGTTTGGTTTGGATATATTTTTCGTTCAAAAGCATACGCCTATATGCATACATTACGAACATAAAAAATACAATTATTTAAATAGAATTATTTAAAGAGAATACGACTGGGCTGCTCTTTTCTCAGTGGGGTAGGAGTGAAAGCATTATTCATTTTAATAAAGGGCACATTTCTTTCATTCGTACTTAATTGTATTCCATGTATGTCAGATTGGAATTTGGTTGGGGTAAAGTGTCCTCCTTGTCGATCCCACAATATCATGAAGTAATGTAACTAACATTATTCGCAATGTTAGTAGACGAAAAATGTGATAGCGAAATCTTCTGGGCTTTGCGCAATGAAGCTTTACTGTTACGGGGGGGGGGGGGTGGGGGGGGGGGGGCTGGCCATTTGGGGAGCTTTCTCATGGGCCGCTCAATATTTTTGCGCTCGAGGGCTGGTCGCATCGAAATCTCAAAACCAACCTTCAGTCCCATTCCGCCCCGATTATTACATGATTACCAACTTGCAGAATTTACATAATGCTGATGTTAATCCGCTCTTGTCCGTCATTTATTTTCATATTAAAAAAAAAACTTTATGTAAAGTGGTGGGTGGCATTTTTGGGACAGGTCATGCACAGGTCATGCACAGAAAAGATTAAAATTGGACATTGATACAGTCGAAACTTAAATATCTGAATAAAGCATGGACAATCCTGCCCTAATTCGGTAAATTTCACTGACCGTTGTGTGACAAAACAGCCATTTTACAAAAAATTGTTAAAGGCAGACATAAAAGGAATAACATTTTATTCTCATTTTGGATGATTATGATTACATGCCTATTGATATTTATATTTGCTCTAAAAATCAGTTTTCCTTTAGGTTTAAATGTTTATTTCATGACGTATCGCAACAATCGTTATTTTAACGAAAAAATTATATAAGGCCTGGAAGAAACCAGCCACATATTTTTGTATTGGTGCCGATGGAATTTTTTCTTAATCACACAATGTGCGTTTCTATAAATATACAACATTGCAGTATTTACAAAATTTCTATGAATAACACTTGTATAATTCACAGATTTATATCATTTACAACATTTCAAAAAGTATATATTGAGAATTCAATTCGTAAGCGCATAATACGTACAATGTGATATAACTGGGTGCAATTGCTTATTCACGTCTGGAGACCGATCTTTAAGGTCACCGAAAGATTTGACTCAGTTTTGAACCTGGGTTCAATTTGAATCAGTTTATACTAGGCGAAGACACATGACCGCGGACATTACCGCTAGACCACCTCAAAAATCTGACAATATGATATTCAGTCGCTATCATTATATAATATAATTTATCTTAGTCCAGTAAATGGGAAATGTTATAATGCTAAACATAAGAATGGAAATTTGCTACTGAAGTATCAGACGGAACATTTTTTTTAAATATACATAGAATGTTGCTGAACTTAAATGCACGAAATCATAAGATTCTGACAGAATTTAAGGAAAAGAACCCACTTGGAAGCATTATGCTGATTAAACCTGCCGTTAAAAGAAATCCACCCCTCTATCCAAAGTGCGAAAAGTAGCTGACCGAGGAAATGTGTAAATTATGCTTGGGCAAGCAAAATGCATCTTCATTGTAAATAACAAGTCCAAAGTGTATGTTTTATATAAATAATGACCTGCTGTGATAAGTAGTCGAACACACACTACACAGGGCTGTTGAAAGCGCGCTAATTTCCGTATACAAATAGAACATCATGCTAGTTTTTGATTAAGCATTGACATTTACGACAAGACATTGTTCATGACGAATGTCTTCCTTTCATAAGATGATTCCTCAAGTCTTGATTGAATTGATTAAATGGAGATGATGTCCTTCGCCATTTTATACTGGTATTAACTCTGTCTTTTACTGTAATATCGAGCTTTTGCTCTAGATCTACAAGCTGAGCTTTTTAATAGGTTCCTCACATTTCACCCTGTATAACCTTTTATTCAATACGATTAATTTCGACGTCTTTTCAAAGAATTAATTATATAATGTGACACTTTTAGCATATTTCATATTTTGTTCTAATTTTGTCAATATTATGTGAATTCTTTTTTGTGAAATGTGAAACTAATAAACCTGAAACTTGAACTTAAAACCGGGGGGGGGGGGGGGGGGGAGAGAAAACTGTATTATAGTGTCTTGAATATATGTCCCTTTTGCAGCCAACATCAAATTCTGTAGAACTTTGCAGGATTTATGAATATGTCATGTATGTCCTATCTGTGAAATTTAAACGTTAGCAGTGTTCTAGTATTCAAATTATGCAAGGAATCCTGTTTACTTTCTAGTCTTCTCTGTCAGACACTATTGAGTGACTGACTGACATTGGTAATAACATACATATAATAAGCTGTAACAGGTACATGAGCATCTGTCTTCATCAATAACCCACTTGTAATGGCCAACATAAAACTGATTGAATATTTGTGCAGCACAAAACGTACGACTATTCGGTACAAGGGTCTGAAAATCAGATTAATACTTAGGTGATTGCAATCACTTATGTCGATTCGACAACTTATGGTCGTTATTCTCCCACTAAAAGCCATTTTCAAACCCTTTCGTTAAATATTCTCTTTCAAATGCCGTTGGAATTTAACCTTTTCATTATTTTTTTTTCGACCTGCAAATGGGACATAAAACCTTGAACTACTTTGAGTTTGATAGGGAAAACGTTAAAAGTTCATCATAACATCATATTAACTTCCCATATGCTCACGTCCCTTGCAAAATGGGTTTAATATCCTCCTTTCTCCGAAGCATGCAAGGCATTTTATACAGCATGAACCAAAGCCATACAAAGTCCGATTCGGTATCGACAAGATTTATGTGTTTTATAAACAAAATGAACAAAGATAGTTATGACTATATAGTTTCGCCGTAAGATGAAAAATGGACTTGGTCATCATTCATTTTAAGTGATATGATGAGGGTTGTGTATCGGGACGCTCAACAAAAATAAGGCCATTGATTTTGCCTTAGTAGTTAACGAGAAAGTATGCATCAAATACCACCAACCATCATACATATTTGTCTTTTATGAAATTGTGAAACACAAGTCTTAAAGGTAATAAAAAGTGTTGGTATGGGGTCATGAATTTGGTTCAAATGAACATATTGGAAGCATATACGATCATACAATATTCAGTGATCGTTGTCGCGGTCGAAATCGACTCTAAAGTTATGAAATTGTAAAATAATAAATACTTAATGTTGAATAGCTCCCTCTCAAGGTCAAGATATTAATTAAGCTATAAAACATTGTTTATTGACTAAAATCGACCGATTAGCTATTCTCGTTCGGAAATTATATACCACAACTACATACTCTGAAATTTTCATGGTCGCAGCTACCATTGTACGGCCGTAGGAGCTATTTGAAATTTATCAAAATTTACCGGGAGCACCGGTAAATCTTATTATTTAATTTTTCTCGAAAGCAGAATTGTTTTAGGGCCTAAAATTTCTGGTGTTTTTAATACGTCCACAGGGGCATCCAAATATATCAAAATTGTAAAGAATCGCTATCCACCCATTTTTCGAAATTTCCCAAAACTTTGTAATACCTTTAAAAGATTCATAAAATATTGCACGTAAACTTCCTCAAATCACCGCAGTTTAATTCAAATAATTTACTACTGATAAGAAAGGTAGGGTAGAAAATACCACAAATGGGAAAAGAAATATATGAAGCGGGTCGAGGTTATGATCTGATTTGGCTATAAACATGATTATATATAGGTCAACAATTCATCAAGCAGTTCAATGTGTACAGTATGCATCATATTATCAGTTTAATATTTAGTTTTCAGACAGTGTTTTAAAACGTAATTGTGGATTGTCAGTGCCAGTGTGTCAACACATTTCATTGAAGATTTGGAAAGTATAGACTTTCAAATTATAACAACTTATCTGAGGGTTCCAGACCGTTATAACATGTCGCCTCGCCTCCCTCGGTTGACGGTTACTTAAGAATTTCAGTTATGATTGTGTCTCACAATGAGGTAGACGAATATTGTCAAGTGAATTATTTATGTACATAGTTATCAATTGCAAAAATATTTTAATTCAAACCTTTGGCGCAGCCTCGACAAGTTCAAATTAATTTGAACTTTTGCAGTGACCCAAATTCCATTTGATTTCTTGACCTTAATATCTTTTATATACATATATGTTTTTATTGAATGGAATGAATAAATCTTGAATCTTGAAAAAAATCTTGAATCATTTTCGCATTGCAACCATATTCATGCATATGCCTTTGTGAAGCGCCTCGAGACGAATTATTTCATTAATCTGTCACGAATGTGTCTCAGTAGTCAGAATTCAAATTTCATACATTAGTTGTTGCTAGGTAGGACAAACATTATGGGTTGCCCTACCTAACAACACGTAATATATGCAATTTGCATTCTGGCTTTTGAAATACAATTATTCGTAAAAGCTGAGCAATGGATACGAAAACAATTTATTTAATACGCAGCTTTTTAATGGTGTTTCAAAAGCAAATCGAGCTGCTGATGAAATTACAATGAGCCTACCAAAAAAGATGCTCCAGATAATGGAAGCGGGTCACGGGTCAACAGCTAAAATTCAGACGTGAACTCAGGCATAACCGGCATATAATTTATCTGGGAGAGTCTAGAGTACCAAAGCTCCACCATGTCCCGAAAGCGTCATTTTTTCTGCGGCACAGATTGGGGCTTTTTTTTTAAAGGTCTTGATTTAACCCTAACCGTAACCGTAACCGTAACCCTAACCCTAACCCTACACTTTCCCATAGGCTCAACAGGACCTAACCCCAATCTGTGCCGCAGAAAAAAATAAAGCGTCCCGAAATCATATACATACATGTACTTTGGTATTATCCGGATTTAATTTTTTAAAAACCTTTGTTTAATGACCGAGTTCAAGGTAGATAGAATATTAAAGCTCACTGTAGATAGAGATTCATTTAGGTCATAGATTATCAAAATAGTTATGGATACACCTATATGACCTAGACAAAATAATAGCTATTTACAACAACAAAATCTTCCTTAACCGCGGCGCCAGCCAGCCATCAACAAACTACCCGCATACGACCTTTCCTCCGACCTTGGCCTGACCAAGAAGTTACTAGCTGGTTAGTAACTTCTTGGCCTGACATGACGAAGCGTGCGACTTTAAGAATATATCCGGCTTCACAAACGGGTTAACAAGGATGGGGTTTCATTTTATTCCGCGCTCGGATTTCATCAAAGCAATCCATTAGAATACTATAAATGTGTCCTATTGATTTGTTCTTAACATAATAGTTTATGTTTGTTATAGCCTAGCTTTCTATTGTTCATTTAAAGCTTCATAAGAAAAAGACAACTTTAATTTGTAGGTCAAGTAAAGTATTTTGTTTTTGATATTTCTTTTCATGTCATTTATTTATTCATTACTTATATTTATAAAGACATAATAAAAATCAATATATATTGGAAGATATAAGAAGAGATATAAATTTTTAAAAAGTTTGGACAGAATTGGCCAAGGCTCCAAGATAAACGAAGCTTGATGCCTTGTGACCCCACGATTTTGAATTGAATTTATTTTCACCAAACATGAAATAAAAGTGTACAAAATGATACATGTACAATGAATGAAGTGGAGGGATACAAGTATGAATACTTACAGTATCTAGGTTATACCTTTAAATTAAATACAAGCAAACATGAGACATAATATAGAACCTCCTGGTGATGCAGAAGTACATTGAGTACAGCAAGCGAGAGAGAGGGAGGAAAGAGAGAGAGGGGGGAGAGGCCAGGGGGGGGGGGTTGAAATAAAGATGTAGGCTATTCCTAATAACTTCTTGATTGTGGTGAAACTCCAGCTTTATATTTTGAAGCTATGCATTCTGGCTATTGAGATACAATTATTCGTAAAAGGTGAGTGAAAAAAAAAAATCGAAAATGGCCTGTTTGAAAGGAGCAATGAATACGTAAATAACGTATGAATTATGTTTATTCAATACGCAGCTACTGATGCATGACAATGCGTCTACACAAAAAAGATGCCCATAAATGAAAGCGGGTCACGGGTCAACGGTTAACATTTCAGACGTGAACTCACAAACATGTACTTTGGTATCATCGGGATGGAACGGTTTTATCACCACTATTGTTTTCATGATTCCCCCCTCCCCTCTTCCAAGGGTCCTCTCTATTCAGTTGTATTATATAGTTTGTGTCAGTTGCATCGTATGCTTTGATTTCATGCATAGCTAGTCATGCACGTTGATCTATTACAAATATTTGTGTTTAGCGTTCACCGAGAAGATAATATCAATTTATTCAAATAATTACTTGTACATGTCAAGTATAAGTGGATAGCATTGGTTTCTATATTAATTCCAAAGGTCCATAAGTTTGTTCGTTTGCACGTTGATATCATACCGTTATTGCTTTGAGTTATTTTATATTTCGACGATTACAGCCCGGCAGCCATCGCTGATTTCAGAACTTTCGAAAGTTTGCAAGGATTTTTTTCTTCGGAAAGCCCCTGAGAAAACTCTCTTGCTCAATTTTGCAACATAATATATATTAACAATCTTAAGACATCTTAGTATTAAGCAGGCTAAGTGTAGGTTCGTATCCCCTACCCAGAGTTTGAAGTATTTTGGGGGTATAATATTGTTATTGTGATCCAAAAGTTTGACTTTCCCTAACCAATATAATTCTGACCAGGCGCAAATGATCCGGTCAAATTTCTGAATGAATGAAATTTCGAACTTCAACCCTGGACCAAGCACTATATACCAAACCCCAACTCTAACTTTGAACCTGATCTAAACCCGGTTTTAATCCTAACCCTAGCGCTATTCCTTACCCTAGCGCTAACCCTTACCCTATACCTAACATAAAACCCGGTTCCAACCCTAACCCTAACGCTAACCTAACCCTAATAACAATTTCGGTTGTAACCCTAGCTCAAACCCTAACACTAACGCTTAAACTAACCCTAACCAAAAACCTGGTTCCAACCCTAACCATAACCCAAAAGCTAACCCTAAAACAAGGTTGGGAATCTATCCCTAACCCCAACCCTATATCAAAACGAAATAAGTTCTCGGAGAAAATGTAGCTGGGCAAAAATTTACGATTTCACTGATTATGCCTTGAGAGCGAGAATATTTGTTAAACTGATGATAGTAAAATGTGTATTGGACTAGACTTTAAACTGATTTAAAACTCAAGTTAGGTATAACACTTTTATTTTATCTGCCGCTTTTCATCAACCTTATGTGAGTGTACTCAAAATGAACCCGGCAACAGAAGAAGCAAGTTTCTGTTAGGTTTGCCATTAGGCCAAGTAATTCTATAAAATTAATGGCAAACAACAAAAAAGATACATATTGGACTAGACATGATTATTGTCTAACCGATTCGTAGTAAGGTGTTCAAGTTTTATTTTTATTTTATATTTTATCTGCAGCTCTTCATCAACAATGAGTGGGTGAACTCGGTTAGTGGTAAGACGTTCCCTACCATCAACCCGGCAACAGAAGAGGTCATCGCAGAGGTCGCAGAGGCTGATAAGGTAAATATCATTGTTATCATGATTATCACTATCTATCTAAGTATCTTCTCCCAGTTCGGAGGTTGAATGCAACACCTCTCCTTTTCACACTATCTTCTTTCATTCTGGTGCACTTTTGCAGTTTTAGTCTACTCCAGTTCTTGACATTCTCTTCCCAGTTGATTTTTGGGTTTCCCTCTCGGTCTAGTTCCTTCTTCTCTTCCCTCCAACACATCTGTTAAGAGGCTTTGGTGCCTTTTAACATGACCAAAGTATTTTATTTTTCTCTCCTGAACTAATACTACCAGTGCAATTTGTTTACACCCTGCCCGTGCAATATCTCTTTGTTGTTTTTCATTCGTTTCCAGGATATTTTCAGCATTCTTCTGTAAATCCACATTTCAAAAGATGTTATTCTATTTTCCGTGGCCTTGCTTATTGTCCATGTTTCTGCTTCATACAATAGTTCAGACCATACATAATAATTTACTTGTCTTAACCTAAGGGCAAATTTCACCTTTTTAACTGTGAATAAGTCGTTCATTACCAGAAATGTATTCCGAGCTATTTCTATTCTTCTTTTTATTTCTGCTTCGCATTTGGCATCATCTGTGGTATTTTGTCCTAAGTTGATATAATTACCGCCCTGTTCAATGATATGTCCATCGAGTTTCTAACAGATTCTAGGCTTATTCTCTGTTCTATTAAATATCAGTGACTTAGTTTTCTTGACATTAAAGCATAGACCAAACCCTTCACTTCTGACTTTTACAATATCCTTTTACAATATCCAATACATGTTATAAATCTGCTTCATTCTCTGTTGAAAAGTACAGTGTCCTCAGCATAACGTAAATTGTTAATATTTACACCCCCAATACTATCACCTTTAATATCTGAAATTTCCCTGACTACCAACTCTGTGCACAAGTTGAACAGAGATGGGGACATTAAGCACCTTTCTGTCATCATTCTCACTAATATTACCACTCTCAATATGTATACTACCCTTACCATTATTGCTACTTTTACTACTCCTACGTCTACTACGATTTCTTCTATTATTATACTAATGATGATGACGATAATGAGGATGTTGATGATGATGATACTGATAATCGTAATAAAATCAATAATAATATACAACTTTGTTTACTACAACTAATTATTACAACACTTATCACTACTACTAGTAGTCCTACTACTACTGCTACTACTATTATTACTAATACAACTACTACTGCTACTACTAATATAGTACTTACAAAAAGGAAGGTAAGGATTTAAAAAGCGTTTACTACTACATTAAACGATCATTGGAGTCACTTTTGTATACAATCTGTGCACCATCTTCACTTTATCCTACCTCTTGTATTCCTTTTAATCAGGCTGACGTTGAACTTGCACATGCTGCGGCCAGCGAAGCCTTCCGCCTGGGTTCCCCTTGGCGTACAACCAACGCGTCCCGAAGGGGTGCACTGATCAACAAATTGGCTGATTTGGTCGAACGAGACTGGGCACATCTTGCCGTAAGTTACACCGGGGGGGGGGGGGGGGGGCGCAGTTTGAAGAAGAAAAAACCCACATCCTATTCAAAATGATTTTAATTTTCTTCCACTTTTACATATCTATAAAATAATCAAGTAATAAATGTATAAATTTAAAGAGCATGTTCCAAGTTTTACTTCCCTAAATAGCGTAGGCTTGTGACGGGAACGCCCTAAACAATACATTAGTAATGTTAACACGAACGAGAAGAACAGAAAAAGAAAGGAAAAACAAAACGAAAGAAAGAAAACAGCTTAAGAGTAATCAGGTATCGCAGGTGCCAAGGCCCAAGGGTCGGACATTAAGAAATGGGTCAAACGTTAAAAACGGTAGGGGTCAGCTTTTTTTTGGCGTACATAATTCCCACCTAAGTTTTAAGAAGGGATGGATGCAATCACAGGCCGTTAAACTCGGCATATATTGATTCCAATATGTTGAAAAGTAATCAACTGTGTTCAAGGTATAATTTTTCCTTTTTTTCAAGTCAGTAATCTATTAACAAGAACGATAAACTCGTACAAGAAGTAAGGAGGCCGAGACCGGCAATTGTGTATTTTTTCGTCTAAAAGAATTACCAGGAAGCACGTATAGGACTACCTTCATATTCCCTTGAATCATATAATCCCAACGTTTGGATAAACAACAATAAATATGTACGGTTCTCCAGCTACAAACGAAATTAGTTGTAGTTTATTGTCGCTCTTTATGGGTTTTTAAGTTCAGTTTTGTTAACGTAACATTTTCGTCATCATAATGATTTTTTTTTACAGAGCCTCGAAACGCTGGACAATGGAAAACCATACCAAGATTCTTACACCATTGATGTACCAGGGGTATTAGCAACACTCAGGTTGGTTTGACAAGTAATGACTTTATTCTGAAAGAATGTATCCCACAAGACCAAATTACTCCAAGGTTGGGCGTGTTCTCTGAAAGGTTGGCCCAAAATAGATCAACACTTGATTATATAAGTTCTTTAAAAAATCATTTGTTTTAAATCATTTTTCGAAATTGTGAATAATTTGTAAAAAGAAATCTGATTCTTGCAAACTGATCTATGATGCTTCACCACCCCTCAGTTCCCATTTCGAAATAAGAATTCTGTATTATTTGCTCACACTAGATACTTTGCAGGATGGGCGGACAAGATCGAAGGCAAAACGATCCCCGTAGGTAAGTAGCGATCTGAAAAATAGTTTATTTACAGAAAAAATGAACAAATCGATGGACCTATATAAATGGTCGATTTTGAAATGTATCCTGTATATAGATCAACATGCTTTGTACATTATATTCACTATGGAAAACATCCGCTTTCAAAGACAAGGGGATAGTGATAATCTAAATACATTCTGGTCATCGGAACCCCACTCCCATTTTCAAAATCATAGAGATATTAGTTTAAGGAACAATCTTGTATGGATAGCATTAGGCATAGCTAAGATTGCATAATACTTGTTGTAATATTATCGTAGTTATAGCATATAAAACCAAGGTTATTATAATCACCTTCTTCATTACTGCAGAATGTTATACTTTGCTCAAATTTGTGCGCTTGGCGATACATAGCAAATTTGAATTTCAAATTTTGGTATTGGATCCACCAGAGTTCTATTATTTCGAGTCATAAGCTAAGGCCTTGGTCCAACTCCGAGTCTTAGAAGCCTCCAACTGATCTAGTCCAAATTCTGATCTAGTGACAATAATGTAGGCCTTATGTTGCTGTGTTCTGCTGGAGCCTGTTCTGTCATATAATAACCATATTTCATGATCACAATTATAAGCATGGGCGCGCTTTTACATCTGCAGATCCGGAGTTTCCGAGCCTCTTCTGCAAATTTACGCAAACATTTAGTGACCTTTAATATTTTGCTTATTGAAAAATCGCATTTCACAGTGATCTAGCGATGTCCCTTGAAAAAGGGAAAGGGGGCGGGCAATAGTCAAATGACAGTTGGTATTGCATATTACGCATCATATTCTTTTGTTTTACATTAATTACTTTTACACTATTTTAGACGGAGACTTCATGACATATACGAGGCACGAGCCAGTCGGGGTCTGCGGACAAATCATCCCGGTAAGAGTAAATGAAAATATCAAATGCATTCTTCTGTAGTTATTCTATATTTTATGGCAAAGGCAGCGGAAAACAGCGGTCATACTTCTTGGCTAAGGGGATATTATTTTGTTGAAGAGGAAGTTATATATGAACTTTACATTACTTGAAGGACTAAAACATATCACAGCGCAGGCGCGGATCCAGGATTTCTTAGGGGAGGGGGCCAAACTTTCTTTTTTTTGCTCCCGAAAATTTGAAAATCGCGCCGGTCGAAAAGTCGCTCAGTGGGGGGGGGGGGGGGGGGGGCGGTGGTAGTGAGCGCATTTTTTTTGGCCCTCGAAAATTTAATAATTTGCACCCCCTGACACTCAAGGGGGGAGCCCATCGCCCAAAAAGGTAAAAATCACGTGATTTTACAAGTTTTTTTTTCTCAGGCGGGTGGGGGGGGGGGGGCGCACCCCCTGGATCCGCCACTGTCACAGCGTATTAAACTAAGTTTTTGTATGTAATAAATATTTAATTATTACGCCAACTCTGATAATTCTGGAACTAAGAAAAACGATACGCTTTCATTGGTCGATGAAGGTTTATACATTTTCACAGACACGGTTATTGCACTTATTGAAAGATGTTTCCACAAAGTTACATGGTAATAGTTCTTACTAGTAAAAATGAAAGAGATCAACAAGAGAACACACGACAAAGGTAGACAATGAACCTGAAGAAAAAAGGATGAAGAAACCGGAAAAAACAATATTTTGGAAAGTTTCCGCCTGTAATACAAATTTTGTTCACTCATACAGTTTTAGCATAACTTCGTACATTATGGTTGTGTGTGCTTGTCATATTGTCCTATTCTTCAAGTTTCCGTCAACATTTCCTGAATTTTGCACCGTCATCATAATATGAAATTCACAACGTATTTGTTCCAGGTATTTGCACAATAATCACACAGCGAACTAATATACGGAGTACAAAGTACAGATCAGATATGTAAGAGAAGGTTTCCTTAAAGGAAATTTATGGCAAAAAAAGAGAGAAAAAAACATCTTTTTCATACTTACAAGTGGTAAACTTTTCAATTCGATTAAATACCTGGCTGACGCTTATGTGCAAAGGTTAACATGCCATATACTTTCGCGATATTAATGCATCCACGAAATACACAAATTCAGCGTTGGTGTATTTGTGATACAATGATAACAATAATTAATGCAATGTGGCATGAAATTGCGAAATTAAAGGCAGCTTCAAGCACGCAGAAGTTTACTGGGTGCAGTAGCTTGTTTTTACGTCTCATATCTTTATTAAATATGGACATATAAAAACCTCATGCGATTTAAGAATGGTATTTTGTTTGCAGAGAACCACGTGATTTTAATCAGGATAATTATCTAGTGGTCACATATTTAGGGCTCAAGATTGAGTTGAATGATAATATCCTGGGTATAAACACTAATGAGGTATATATAACTAGTTGTATAACAAGTAAATATTTACTTACACCAGGCTCTTACGAGAGCTACACCTTTATTTGTGACCTTACACAAAGAAAATCGTTCCATACATGTGACTCCACGATAATGAGTGACAGCATTGGCCTAACCACACTTTTGAAAATACAGCCTACCACCCACACGCAAACCAGACTCGGAAACTTTTTTGTTTTTAATATTATTTATTGTACTTCTATTCAATAAATAATAATTGTAAATTTATAATGCGCAGTTTCTATATGTATATACTCAACTGCGCATGACATATTGGATATTATTATTACCCCGGCTTTAGCTGTGCTGCCATTATAGCGCTCTAGCATTTCAAGGAATAAATTCCTACCGGTACCCATTTACTTCACCTGGGTGGAGTGTGGCAAATGTAGATCAATATCTTGCCAAAGGACATTAGTGCGGCGGCGGGACTCGAACCGCGGACCTTGTGATCGACAGTCCGGCGACGTATCCACTCGACCACAACACCTCTACGAATTCATATAATTTACTTTTAAAAAGTTAATGCAAAAATAAGCGCATATGTTTCGAATGATATGACAAATAATGACAGAATGGAAACAACATGACATAAAATACCTCAAATTCCCACTCCCCGTTTACACCCCCTCCCCTAAAAAGTGTATTAGATGAACGTCTTTCGGTTTGGCCTACATTTCGAAATCTTATTGTCCATTTTCTGGCCCCTCACTCGTCTCCTTTGTGGCTCTGAATTAATCTACACCCACCAGGTTTCTTTGAAAATGTATTAGTATCAGATGTCAACCAAGCGAATTTTGATTTTTTTTTTCTAGATCTGATAAACTTCCCCCATACTTGCATTCACAGTAAATGAGTGTACTAAACCTTATACCCTACGCATTTATCACAATCGACTGTTTCCATCCACAGTTTATTCATCTATTGATGACAATAAACAATACTAGCACTAAATAATAATAATATATAACATTTATTAGGCGCTTAATACAGGTGTTTCTAAGCGCACCATTGTCTGACTTAAAATTGACTACTAAAACTTGTAGTAAACACACAAAATATAAATATGTTCTTTATTCAACAAATCAAGCATATATAATAAAAAATAATAAAATGAGATCAAACATAAGGTCAAACAAACATAAGGTCAAACATGAGATCAAATAAAATATCAAACAAACAAAGAATAAGATTGTGTGCACCTCCTTTGACCGACTCACAACTGCATAAAAGCATTCATGAATTAAAAAGGTGTGTTTTCAGTAAGGACTAAAGGAATGCAGCCTCTAAACGCTATCAAACACAATGTAATTATTAATATCCTATTTTTATATTGTGCAGTGGAACTTTCCTCTTCTGATGTTGGCATGGAAATGGGCCCCTGCTCTGGCGTGTGGAAATACCATCATAATGAAGACGGCCGAACAGACTCCCCTCACTGCTCTCCATATGGCTGAACTCGCCAAAGAGGTAAACAAACACATTAATAAATAAATTGAGGAACAAATGAATAAATGAATAAATTAATTAATGAATAAATGAATTAATGAATAAATGAATAAATGAATTAATAAATAATTACGTTAAAAGATAAAATGCACGAATGAATAGACAGAAAAAAAACCGTAGGTAAATAAAATGAATACAAAAATATTTCTCTTTCTCCCTGCCTCTCCCCCCTTCTCTGTCATTCTCCTCTCTCTCTCTCTCTTTCTCTCTCCCTTCTCTCTCTCTTTCCAGTCACTGTTGATGAATAGGTTTTGACTGAAATCGACAGTGAACGAAACGTTTTATAATCATCCGTTTTCTGCATTTTACAACGTGTTATATTTTCTTCAATAATCGATGTAACAGAAGGTCAAACTTTCAGGATTGTTCAAGGATAAAGTTTACTACCGTTCATGCAATTACAGTGTAAACAAAACTGCCTGCAGTGGAAAGAATCAGAAAAGGTTGATTGATTGTATAGTGCATATGAATTAATGTTTACTTTCAAGTTTTGAAATGATCAAAATGAAAAAAAATTGACTCAATATTGCAGTAGATCACATGCACTGTACCCAAAAATGTTAACGTGGGACTTTACACACAAATATTTGGACCAAAATGTTTAGCTCTTATTTGTCAAATAACCCGTTGACTACTGAATTATCTAACTCCCATAGACTTAACACAGGGACCACCAGGTTCCAGTAAGCAATGGGATAATAGAGCATTTCAAGAGCATCTTTTTCAGGAGACATTTCCACTTTTAAATCCTTTTTGAACTGACATACAAAGAACACGAAAGCGCTACATTGAACTATGGGCCTACTTTTTCATCTTCAAGTGGAACTCAACGTTCTCTTTAAAAAAAAATCAATTTCAATCACGGATTGCTGTTACAGGCCGGCTTTCCACCAGGTGTGATCAACGTCTTATCAGGATATGGACCCACGGCGGGTGCAGCCATCGCCAGTCATCCAGGCATTGACAAGGTCGCGTTCACTGGATCTACAGAGGTAATTACTATAAATATTCAAAATCATTACAAAGAATTCAATTCGTCTTCTTTGGTCTTATTCACTTGGGCTTGTCACCTAGGTAAGCCTCGTAACGTCAATACGAATGTTCTTTTTGTGGCCCCTGCAAGAGCCATCATCGCCAGGTACCAAAGCTACCAAGTCAGGTCGAGAAACACCAATCATGGCCAAAGAACCGTCTTCCAAGTATGTAAGCGCTGAGCAAGGATCGGACCGGCGACCTAACATAATGGAAGTCATTGCCCGTTACCAATAGAGTCTCTGCAAAGCTCCCAAGGTGGTGGCTCTGCAATTTAATTTACCCGTATCATGTAGTTCAGTCAAATGGGTCTAGAGTTCAATAGAAAGAGATAAGAAAACAAAATATTCCAACTTAATGGGTAACAGTATATATATGGAGGGTAGGGATTAACATCACAATGATTGTTATTCTGCTTGTATTTACCAATGACTCATACATTTTTATGTTCATTACAATAACACTTTTATGTTTTAATGATTCCTTTCTTTGGTAGATCGGAAGAATTATCGCGCAGTCAGCAGGCGCTTCAAACCTCAAGAAAGTGACCCTTGAACTTGGCGGGAAAAGCCCAAATATCATCTTGGCCGATGCTGATCGTAAGCTCGTGTTTTCCCTTTTCATTCTTTGTTAACTGGAAACTAAGAATGATCATTCAAGCTTCGATTTTAATCAATAAACGACTTTGAATGTCAATTTGAAAATTGAAATTGAAATTGAAAATTCCTCACAAAGAACTCAGAATTTTCCAAAGCATTTTCCTTGTTCATTTTAAACACAAAACAAGGAATCAATATTATTGGGACTTGTTTATCCGGGTAGCCACATCAGTAATGATACCACCCTTTTTAGCTGCGGGTCCTGCATTTAGCATTACCCCCCCCCCCCCCCCAGCTTTGCCAGGCACCCATTTGATACACATTCAAGAGGGATGAATGTGGGAAGATATCTTGTCCAAAGATGTAAACACCAAGCAAGGTTGGAAGTCGGGACCTCTCGTACGAAAGTCTAGAGCCTTCACCAATATAGCACGTTGCTCCCACAAAATCCAGTCCACTGCCTGAACTGTTGCGGTGTCGCGCACCCAATCAGCTGAGAAAGTAACACACCCTCAACGTTAAGACGAAAACAGTCCTTTCGTTATTAACCCTCACTAAAATAACGGGCATCGCACGAATATTATTTAAAACTTTGCGCATTTAATTGTGTTGATCGTAAGGGAGGGGGAAAATGACATTTGAAGAAAACAAATAGATGTAAAACATATTAACGTATCAACGTATTAACTAGCTAGGAAAATGTTATGTTGTTGATAATGTTGACAAATGAAAGTCAGCCAATGACCCTGCATTATTCTTTGAGAACAAATTCTGGTATCTACAGGCACGTAGCCAGAGTTTGATGTTTTGGGGGGGGGGGGGGGGGGGCACATACATGTAATCGATCGAGGTAAAAAAAGGGGTCTAAAAAAAGTTCAACCGATCTTGGAAATTTTGGGGGGCACGTGCCCCACTCCCCCCCCCCCCCCCGGGACTACGTGCCTGGGGATCTATAAGAAGTTCTTGTTTGCTTGCTCAAAAAGGTATCGGCTAACTCAATTCAATTCAATTCAATTCAATAAGGGTTTATTCGTATGATGTTTTGGCAGCCGAAGCTGAATTGCAGATCATTTGTACAAGGTAAAAACATCATGATATTTAAAATACACTGAGCATTATTACATAAAATAAAATTAATGACATATAAAAGGATAAAAATACTAGACACATTTATACACATATTAGGCAACATACAAAAATACATGAAGCTTACTTTTTTGAATAATAATCGTTTAAGATACGAACAAAATAGGGAATAGAGCTGTTATTAAAGCGACTAGTTTTACAAATAAATTGAGAATATTTCTGTACATTTCGTAAATTAAATTTAACACTTCTTTGACTTGGTAGCCATAACGAACACAAATCATGCTTTTCTAATTTAATGGCGAAATCAAAACAAAGTCTATTCCTACGTTCTTCCAACGTTAACAAATTGTACAGTTCTAGAGCATGATTATATGTTTCATAATTAAGTCCCAAAATAATTCTACATGCCCGTTTTTGTATTCGTTCAATATTATCTGTTTGTATACGTGTTAGGCTGGAATGAAAAAGTGGTGCACAATACTCTAAAATTGGTCTTATGTATCCAGTATAAACAATAACGAGATCAATAATAGGTAAATTAAAACGTGTCAAGGTACGTAACATATATAACTTTCTATTGCACTTCTTTAACATTTCCTTTACTTGAGTATTCCATTTTAAATCACATTGAATATAAACTCCAAGAACTTTGATTACATTTTCTTCATTTAAAAGTGTCTCATCAATATACAACAGTTGGTGAGTTTGATTTTTCATAAAAGAGACCGTCATAGCAATGCATTTAGTTGGGTTAAGTTTCATATTATTGAGTAAAGACCAATTTTCTAATAACAATAATTCCGATTGCAATTTTGATATTTGTGTACAAGTCCGGCTTTCTACTATAATAGTTAAATCATCCACATACTTATAAAAAGGGAGTAAACAATCATGACACGCATCGTTGACCATAATTAAAAATAATATAGGCCCCAATGTTGTACCTTGATGGACTCCTACATTGTTATTTTTTACATTTGAAATACGACCTTTATACCTTACTACTTGTTGGCGGCATTCTAAAAAATCTACTATTAACGAAATGACACATGGTCGTACATCCAATTTAACAAGTTTACAAATTAAAATATTATGATCAATCCGGTCAAACTCGTCTGTAACTAACTCGACAGTCGCCTTCGTTCATTTCAAAAGGATTAGAACGACGACTCTGCAGGAATGGGTGCTTTCCCTTAATTTATGTGTGTTTCTTTTTCCTTTCATGAGAAACCGCCGAGAGCAGCCAATTTACAATATTATTTATGAATATAAATGCACCTTTAAAAGATTACATATTTTCATCCTTCATTTCCTTTCAACAAATTTTATTCATTAATCTTGAGAAAAGGAATAAATATCTGGATAACTGGATTTATCGATTGCTTGTTCAAGTTACAATCATAAAAAAAAAATGAATTACACAAAAAAGAACAAACAAATATAGAAACAAACGAATCAACAAACAAACGTTAGAGAAAGATTTGCTAATTACATCACATCATTGCCGATTTCATGAAACAAAATAAAACAATAATGATATATTGTATGGTTTCCATCTCGCAATATAAAAACAAAACATACAGACTAAAACTAGATGGAACTTTGACTGCGCGCAGTCGAAAATGATGCCTCCGTCATAGAGCAAGTTTACAAACCAAAAAGACCTCATGACCCTAAAATGTACTCAGTTCATTGGCTCTGCAAGATGTCCCGAGTTAAATAGTAATCCATCTGTCAGTTCTAATGAGAATGCGTTCACAAGCTATTTTAGTAAAAAAAAATGAGCCCATGACATTTGACCTTTGACCTCATGACCCAAGAATCTACTCAGTTCATTGGCTCTGCAAGATACATACATGATCTAAGTTTGGCAGGAATCCATCAATCTGTTCTAATGATAATGCGATCACAAGCTATTTTTTGCATACATAATGAGCCGCATGAGCTTTGACCTTGACCAAGACCCCACAATCTAATCAGTTCATCGGCTCTGCAAGTAACATACATGACCTAAGTTTGGCAGGCATCCATCAATCGGTTCTTGAGATAACGCGATCATGAGCTGTTTTTGCATACATAATGAGCCATGTGACCTTTGACCTTTGACCTCGTGACCCCAAAATCTAATCAGTTCATCGGCTCTGCAAGATACATACATGACCAAAGGTTGGCAGGAATCCATCAATCGGTTCTTGAGATAACGCGATCACGAGCTGTTTTTGCATACATAATGAGCCCTGTGACCTTTGACCTTTGACCTTTGACCTCGTGACCCCAAAATCTAATCAGTTCATTGGCTCTGCAAGATACATACATGACCAAAGGTTGGCAGGAATCCATCAATCGGTTCTTGAGATAACGCGATCACGAACTGTTTTTGCATACATAATGAGCCCTGTGACCTTTGACCTTTGACCTCGTGACCCCAAAATCTAATCAGTTCATCGGCTCTGCAAGATTTGGCAGGAATCCATCAATCGGTTCTTCAGATAACGCGATCACGAGAACGGGACGTACGTACGGACGGACGGACGGACGGACAACCCGAAAACATAATGCCTCCGGCTACTTCGTAACGGAGGCATAAAAAGTGCATATAAACTCAATAATACAGTGAATGGCTGAATACCCCCAAATATTTCATGACAAATCTGATCTTTCTTGGGGTCTAAAAATGAGCAGCGATCATTCGCTTTATATTTTTAATTTTAATTCCTGTTCTAGACACTAACGAAAATAGCTCTAATGTTTTCCAAAGTTGTTGAGATTTGACTTTCATGCACTCTGGCCAACTTTATCCATTTTATCACACAGTTGATCATGCGGTGGAGCAGAGCCATTCCGCCATTTTCTGGAACATGGGCCAGGCCTGCTGCGCCGGATCCAGGACCTTCGTTGAGGACAAGATCTACGATGAGTTCGTGGAACGCAGCGTAGAACGTGCTAAGTCCAAGGTGGTCGGTGATCCATTCGATATGTCCAAGGACCAGGGACCTCAGGTATGAACAACACTGTTGTCAAATTTGGTAATTTGAAAAAGAGATGAAAAACACATAATAATCAAACGATTGCGCCCCACGAAACGAATAAAATAGGGGCACGGGCATAATTTTGACACTATAAGCATGCACAATTGAAAAGAAATTTCGTCATCAAAAGTATTATAGGCTTAGTTACGAGATAAGATTTTCAACAAAAATAAATTAGAATACCTTATTGTCCGAATGAGAAGGCGAACATTGGTCATTTGAAATTTCCTGGGGGGGGGGGGTGGGGGTATGCAGCTAAAAATAGTGGATTCCAATCTCAAAAGAGTAATACAACCACTTCTTTCGAATGGATTCAACTCCAAAAAAGTAATCCCTCATATAACTTCTACAGAGTGGATTTCCACTCATCTGTACCGAGACATAATATCCTATAAATAAAATAACGGAATATAGTCTTATAGCGACATTACGTCTATCTTCTGTTCTGTTTTTATGGTACATGTAGTTCATTGAAAAAAGCCTTGTCATATTGAGATAAAAAATGCATTACATGAATTATTAACAATTTCCGTTAGGATTAGATGATGAAACCCAGGGATCTCCTCATGTGAGCCTTGGTTTTAAACATGAGATATATATTTGTTTAAATCAAGGCATTCCCTAATAATGATAATGATAATAATAATGATAATAATAAGGATGATAACCAAACAAAATGGTAATATTAATAATAATAATAAATGTAATAATATCAATAATAATAATGATAATACCGAGTATTTATTAACACTAAATAAATATGTACAATAGCGCTTACAAGATTACAGAATATGAAGAGAAACATAAAAAACAATCAATACGTAGACTCATAAAATAGGTTAACCACGTTTTATTACTAAGGGAAGAATATATTTCAGATTATTTTGTAAAACCGATTAGTTGCTAGCTCTAGACAAAATGAGGAAATATTCCGTATTCGATTACCCCAGATGTTTTTCCTATAGTTAAATCTTATCATTTAAAACGGGTATACAAGTTTTTTATTTACATAATCCTCGTAGGGTTGATTTATTCCTATAAAGGGTTATTTCATTTTAACAGACTTAATACAAAATATGTCGCCAAGTAAAAGTAATTCCTTGTTTCTCGTACCATTCTCCTTTTCTTTATTTGATTTTTTTGCTTTGAGATGAAATGCATAACAATCTGAGATTTTCTAGACAATGGGGTTAACACAGATTATTAATATTCTTGCAATTTCACATTATTTTGAGCCTCTGTGGTACATAATACACATAAATTGAAGATACAACATTTGTGTAAAAAATGACCCAATGGCATTGTATGCCCACATAAAATATCAATCATTAAATATAATGGATCATCGCCTCCCAGTTTATAAAAAGAAACATTTCGAACGAGAAACTAAAATAAAATTTTCTCTGGCCTCAAACCTAGCTCATTAGATTCATTAAATATCTTGATACTTTTATTCTTTAATTTCCATCGCTGTAGGTGGATAAAGATTTTTGGATTATTTTAATAATTTTGTAAGCCATGTTTCACACGCAATCAGATCCTCGTTTCAGTTGTAGATAATTGACTCGTACTCTTTTGGGTGGGCATGTTGTTTGTTATATAGGAATCGTTTGTTGACACCTTCGGTATTTTCGGGTTAAAATCTTGGGATATTTTTTTTTTTGAAGGTTTAAACTATTTGCTTTTCAGTCCGCAAATTTATTTTCTAAATTCGGTGGGACATTCACTTGGGGACCGTTAACACTGTTAGAGTAGGGCCTAAATACAGGAGTGTGTTGACCCACATGCGGGACACGTGACGCTAATGAGGATTAATGCCTAACCAAAATGGCACTAACGCACCAACTTGGTTTCGATTTTCGAACCTAGAATCTGCGGTTAGGAAACCACTGCTCTTTACCGCTGAGCCATCGTACCTAACAAACACAACCATTGATCCTATTTGTTTTCGTCTTAGATCAACGACGAGCAATTCAAGAAGATTTTGGGTTTGATCGAAAGCGGGAAGTCAGATGGAGCCAAATTGGCAACAGGAGGCGGTCGTCATGGTGATAAGGGATACTACATCCAACCAACGGTGTTCACAGACGTCAAGGATGACATGAAGATCGCCAGGGAGGAGGTAAAAATATTTTTAAAATCAGCTTTACATTGGTCTAATTTTCTGTGAATGGATGCAGACAAAATGCAAAATCTATAGGGCTGAGTGTTCAAGTGACATGAAACACAATTGCAAAGATTACCAAGAAATCAACTTCGGAGCAACTCCAACACAGTAGTATTGCCTTGACCCATTGTCTACTTGAACAAGATGATTCAGTAGTCAACGGGTTAAGAAAGGAAGAACGGATATCTTTTTTGCAATGTCCTCACTTTTCAAAAGGCGATGGACAAGGCTATCGAAATCGTTGACTTTCGAAAGTTTTTGCGACCGAGTAAGAGGTATGCAAACAAAAAACAAGGACTACAGTGACCTTGTACCTGACATTATGAAAAATATCAGTTATCGAGACTTTTGTCAAGGTGTTTGGTATCTCCAGCCTTTAAATGTCCCACTTGATACTATCTGAATGCAACTCTCCCCTCTCCCTCCCCCTCCTCTCTCTCTCTCTCTCTCTCTCTCTCTCTCATTTTTGTTGGTGATGATCATATATTTAAGGGGGTGAACATGTGAAAAATAAATGAACATCAATCAAACGACATATTTTTTCAAGAAAATAATAACAGACGCCCTGCTCTTTCAATGTCAATGTAATCACTTTTAATTCCTAAAACAAATCATTGACAAGTTTTTTTTTTTTATTGTTTTACTTCTTTGAATAGATCTTTGGACCGGTGCAGAGCATCTTCAAGTTCAGCGAAATGAACGAGGTGATCAACCGAGCAAACAACACAGAGTACGGTCTGGCAGCTGCAGTTTTCACCAAGGACATCGACAAGGCCCTCTACGTCTCGAATTCGCTCAGGGCGGGAACCGTCTGGTAAGTTTTAACAACCCCGTCACACCACCAAACGGCGATCCGACATTTGGGTTTTATTTCGTCATAAGTGTAGGGTTAGGGTTAGGGTTAGGGGTTGCAATTGAGTTTAAGCTAGAGTCTATGGTTGAAGTTGCTGATTCGGTTAGTGAAGAGAATTACCCAATTGTCGTTGAAGCTTTATGCTGTCACCCCTCCAAATCGACTCCGAACCGACCCATAACTTCGGGGTAATGTAGGCCTATATTTAATCGGTTTGTTGTGGGTTTTGTTGGTGTGACTTAGATATCAATATATAAACGTAATTCATGTAAATCTTCTATAAGAATTTTTTTTATGGACAAATTAAAATTCTACCTTGAAATGAGATAGGTATTATAGCTTTCATTTGATTTTAGGATTTCTTTTTTTTCTTTTTCTGATTAGGTCTGCCTCCTTCAATATATTTATATTAGTCCTAACCTATATCAATCTCCGTTATATTTATGTTGTTATCCGACTTTGTTTTGTGTGATTATCTTCATATTAAGGCTGTCTGCTCAAGATTTTACTTCGTTTCCCCCTCGTAGAACAGCTTTGTATATTAAATCTATTTATTTTATTCAAGCCTACTATGTGGCATTCATAGGTTTTTTAGAGATCTTTTTATATGGATTATTAACCTCGATTCGGTAATCGGCATATCAAAGTATTCTAGATTTCCCTTGAAGTCGTGCAATTAAAGGTTAAAGCGATAAATACCCAGTATTTATTTCCGCGAAATATATCAAGAGCTAGCAAAGAAAGGTTGTAATTGCATTGAATATCTATCGTTCTCCAGGTGGTCGTTTTAAACTGTGAAGTCTTCGTTAGGACTGTTTTCACGACCATATTTCAATTATTAGTAAGTAAGGTCTTTATAGGCTCTTTGAAATCCCATGAGCCCAATATACGATCCCTTTTTTTATGGCATTTGTGACAAGAAATTATTGCTACGGAGATGTCAAAGACGATTTTTCTTCCGTTATGACATTTTTGGTGATAAAAATGATTATTTAGGCGTCGCGTCTGTGTCATAAATCAAAAAACGCTTAAGGTATTTCATTTCAAATTGTGCTATATAACCTAAATATTTTAATGCAGATTATACAAAGTTACGAATTACAATGAAGAAAAGAAAGGGGAAGAGAAGCACGAAGATAGAAAAAAAAATCCCTCATTATTTATTAGTTTGTTAAGAAGAGGAAGTGAGGTGTAATGGCGTAGTGGTAGCGCATTACCATGTCCCTCGGAGAAGACTTAAAGACGTAGATCCCCTGGTTGATTATGTACAAGCAAACAAATGCTTTCTTAGCATTCAGGTAAAACAAACAAACCAAACAAACAACCGAGGAACAGGACATCTTTCTCCTCTAGGACGCCATTGTTTCGATCGGATTGGGTGATAAAAGTATTGATTAATGTCTTCGAAAAATGAAACTACCAGAAAATGATTGCAATGACTTTCAGAACGCAGGTTCAATAATCTTGTCCACCACCTCTTGAAATGCTCAAACTCTACAGTGACAAACATTTGGGACTTAATCCGAACATGATTTCTAGATGCATTGCAATAGGCCATTTTCGTGTAAAGCCTCCTCGTCGCTAGGTAAGACAGACATTATGGCTTGTTCCAGGCGCGTACGCAGGGGGGGGGGGGTTGGGAGGTTAACCCCCCCCCCTTTGGTAATTTTATGTATGTAAACCCCCCCCCCCCCCCTAAAAAAAACCTAAAACCCCCCCTTTTTATTTTAATTTAAAAAAAAAATTATTAAAAAAAAAAAAAAAAAAAAAAATTATGCCCACGGCCGACCTAAAAAAGGTGACCTTACCCCCCCCCCCCCCAACTGAGCAAAATTTCAAATTTCCAAATTTCGAGACCAAATAAAAAATAAAAAAGAGTGTCCTCTTACTCCTGAATTTCCTGTGCTCGCCCTTCCAGCAATAACGATTCGCAAGCACTCATGTTCATATAAACGGTTCAGAATGATGTAAAATAGTCTGCATGTACAAAGTAGAGGCTCTATAATCCCTTCAATTTCTGATGAAATTGCAGATCTCCTCCTTTTTATTACTCTTCTCTACTACTGTCTACATTAAACCTTCATGTATGTCAAAATCCATTCATGGAAAAGCTTCCTCTCGTCGCCGTTATCCCAGCTGAAATGCCACAAAAAATAATCATTAAACCATTGAATTTCAATCACATCGCTAGGGCCTGCTTCTTAAATTACATGTTAGGATTAAGGGGGATATACGCTGCGGGGAAAGGCTAATGCAGTTCCTTCAAAATGGGATTCTTGAATCGTAATTTGTGGGTAGCCACCATGTCAATAGGGTTGGCGGCATCAATTTGCTACATAACCAGTGAAAGAAACGATGCAATAAGCAACAAGTGAGTTCTTTCGAAACATTAATGTGTAATGTTTGTGGTTTCTGTTTTAGAATCTTTCTTGTTGAATGGATATGGATGATTACATGTTTTTATCTGTAGTTCAATCAACTTCTTTAATTTGTTCTTTAATATTGTTTAGAATGCAAATTGAGGGTTAGTACCGTATTATACTAACCCCTCAAGGGAGGATGGAATAGCAACCACTAAGCTTATCTTCATGGCGAGAGGATATTCCCCTTTCAATCAATAATTATGAACACAGGTAGAGGGGGGGGGGGTCCATGATTTTGTAAATGGATTGGGATGATTATTGGGGGTAATTGTTTCTTCTGTAATAAAAGTATAATGATAATTTAAAAAAATATATATTATTAAAATAATTCTAAAATGTATTATATCAATAATGAAATGGTACAACTACTACTACTACTACTACTACTACTACTACTACTACTACTACTACTACTACTACTACTACTACTACTACTACTACTACCACCACCACTAATACTAATACTACTACTACTACTACTACTACTACTACAACTACTACCACTACAACTACAACTACTACTACTACTACTACTAACAACAACAACAACAACAACAATAAAAAAATAATGATGATGATAATATGATTATTCTGATGATGATGATAATGACGATGATATTCTGGGTCAAGTAACGTGTATTATACATCACTTTAAATCTGCTATTGCTCTGTAATTGTTTTGGTAATACCATTCCCAAATCTAATTTTCTCTGGTCTGCATCCAAACAAACCAAACATATTTTCTTCTGGTATGGCGGGGGGGGGGGGGGGTGCCTTGGTTTGATATTCAGGTTGATCCATCGTTTCCGCTTATAGTAAAAATGCATCGAAACAGATCCAATAACGCAATAAAGAATCTCGTTAGACGCAATAATGGTCAAGTTTCGGAAAGGAATGGATGAATATTGATAAGGATGGCAAAGAATTGAAATTGTTCATATCCGCTCCAAATAGCAAGCTCTTGATAGGATCCGATGGAGGTATTATTATCATTATTATTATTATTCTCCGCGATCTTAAAAGAATGGGGATATTCTTAAAAAACAAATTAGGGCATGCCTGAATAGCGTCGAATACGCGCCGGATGGTTCTCTGCAGAAAGCACAGATATTGCAATTTATTTGGCCAAACAGGCAACACTCCCAATGCCACATCTGTTTCGTGGGGCCCTCGCCGGAAGAGTAGGGAATACGCACGGAACAATCACGTTCAACGTATTGCTTATGAGACAAGGGGTTGTGCACTTCCTCTGTACATGTAATTCAAAAATATGATTCATTTTTGTGTTTATGGGAACACTCCTAAATGAGTCAAGGTTTTGTTTTGATACGATTCGTGTTTCACGAAAAAAATTAGTCACCGAGCGTCTCTTTTTATGACTCGAATCACCCGCTTCAATGGGTCCTTGTATATGCGGAGCGGGCTCCTCTAACGATCATTCAATTTCGGAAATGAAATCTGGCGGCAACATTGACAAGAAAGAGAGAACCTGTAATCTTATTCTTTCTCAATCATATACCCTTAATGAAATTGTGGGTCTTTTATTTTTGGCATTGAGCGTGTAATCGAATGGGATGGATAGGAGTCATGTTTGAATTTTGTGAAAAGGGGTAGTGTATCAATCTCATTCTCCATCAAAAGCAATCTGATTGAGATTTGTCCTATATTGTGGATGTTTCGGAACCGGAAGAATGTGGTCGATGATGACATCATCGGTGAAAACAAATCTCGTCACACAATACCCGCTTTCTGAACAAATCATGTCAGAAAAATCACTTCTGGTTGCTTAAAGAGGAGGTTGAGTTCTAGTTCAGGTGATAATTAATTTTCTGAGCTTTGTCGTCTCTGTATGTCAGTTTGGAAGAATATCACAAAAGAAATGTTCCTTCAAAAGGATACCTCTTCTAATGAACACAAATTCGAAATATGACATAAAATAGAAGTAAAGGTTTGACCCAAATTTTCATGGCACATGGCATTGGAGTCCAATAAACATGTTTTTATGTGCAGTGCAAATGATCTTCAGCAAGACTGAGTCCATTCCTTTTCATTCATTTTGATCTTTCCAAAACTTCACAGCATACCTCGTTCATTACGTATCACAGAATCAAACTTTCCCGATTGCTTCCAGGCTGCAGTTTCGTTCACCAAAACTCAACTGTATATTATTTAATAAGCATGACAACCCTTTAATAGCGTACACATACATATTCGTTGCCTAGTTTTCCTCATTCATCTTTTGGCTGCTGAAAATCCATGTCAAATAAAACAAACATGATCTGATCTTAATTCAGGAGTCGTATTCTTATTTTGCCTTGACTTGAAGATTTGATGCATTAATGAATTCTTCTCGTCACGAACACTACCCAATCGGAGGTATCAAATAATATTTATGGGGACAAACAAAACTTCGAATGTCAGATATACCTTTCTTTTGCGTAGGCTCTCCTTTTGTTAATAAGCCAGCTCAAACTGCGTTTGAACTTTCTGATCGTGACTTGGGAATGATTACATATTTGTATAAGAGGTTAAGTGTAGCGTTAAAGTAAAGGTTATGAAATTCGATGACGATATTAATGCAATTTCTCTTTAAAATAACGTTACGAAATATGGTTTGTGTTTGGCTTCGGTGAATGTGCGACAAAAGATATCACTGAGAATGTGGGTGGATATAGATATCATTCTAAAAGTTATTATACGAGAAAGGGAGGGCGAGCACAGGAAATTCATTGTCCACACGTAGACTCCTTGCGCAAGCAAAAATTATTACCAAAAAGAAGAATTCAGTTGACTTTACTGCCCCTTTATGAATTATTATGTCCCCTTTTAAAGTTTTGATATATTGGTCTGATATTTATTTTGAATTTTCTAGCATAATTTTATATACTCATTCATCAAGAAGCAGAGAGTCGATGTAAGACTCGGTAATATAAGAGCTTTGAACTTTTTATGTCGTGTGAACTTCGGGTTTATTCTACCACTCATGGTAGGGGCATCGATGAAAACCGTCGAACTCTCTGAGATTTTTCATTTTTTTTTGGATGAAGTCCTTTTTCACTAAAGACATTTATAGAAAATTATTACTGATAAACTTCATCCACAACTGGAAAATGAAATTGGCAAAAATAGTAAAATAAAAATGATAAGTAAACAGCTAATTAGATAAAACTAATAAGTAAAACTATATTAATAATAAAAGAAAAATTGCCTTGAGCTTAAGTGAATGAAACAATTTCACATAGGCCTAGCTCCAATTTTTAGACATGGGCCAAATGGTCAAAAAAATCCTAAAAAAACACTATGGTAACAGGGTCTCGCCAACACTTTAACATTAAAGACACGACTAAACTTGTATCTTCTAAAGATACATTTTTAAATGAGCAAAATACCATTGACAACACTTTGCGACATGTGCTTTCGAGTAGATGGTTTAAGAACATGAATTTTGTGAAGTTAATAACAAATAATGCAGTCATTCTGTATGTAGATACACAGTATTAAAAGCATTTTGCTGAATCTCTAAAGGCCTATCCTGTCTTCTCTTTAGAATCCGTTCTAAATCTTCAAACTCGTCGATAATCTAAATATTTCTACCAAATACCCAATTCTGAGAATAATTCGCAAACATCCTCTCTTCCCCATGCTTGTCTGCATTCAACCACAACAAGACAAGCACCCTTTGTTGTTTACCAATTACCAGTTCATATTTTGTTTCGTTAAAACTCACATATTTGAATTTAATTTCCCTAATCGTATGAATATGCACATTACCCATGCCTTATTTTGTTCAATTTCCAAAGGATCAATTGCTACAACGTGGTTAGCCCCATGGCTCCATTCGGAGGATACAAGATGTCAGGCACAGGTCGTGAACTTGGAGAGTACGGTCTGGAGGCATACACTGAAGTCAAAACTGTAAGCCATCCAAGTCTTTATTCTTTTTGTTGTTGTTGCAAAGTTATTTTTTATTATTAAAGTCGTGATCGCTACTTTCAAATGTATCCTCCCCTGTGTCGAAGTCGGCTTCCCTTTCGCCTTGATTTAAATATTTATTCACCTCTTAAAAACTTTCTGGCTGCTAACTCTTCTTGTTTCTTAAAATAACTCTTTATTCTTTTTGTTTTTGTTGCGAAGTCATCTTTTATTATTATTATTATAGTTATGATCGCTACTTTCAAACGTAGCCTCCCCCTTTTCTTAAAATTATCATTGAGTATCAAGAATGTGAACTTCATAAAATAAGTTTAAATCTATCTTAAAGAGAGAAAAGTATAATTCACTTCTGAAATTTCCGAGTAAGAGATCAGAAGAGCAAATTAAGTTAAAGGATTTCACTCCCGCAGGAGAACAGAGGCAAACATATTCTCTGTCTTTTTTTTTATAAATCGCACAACCCAGCCATATTTTATTTGTCTTTGACGTGATGTATTAATTCCATAACGTCGTTGTTAATATTACTATCTCTTTTCTTTCTCTTTTCTTTAGGTGACTGTGAAGATCCCTCAGAAGAACAGTTAAATTGTTTCAACACAGAGAAATAGACAGAGAGAGAGAGAGAAAGAGAGGGGAGAGAGAGAGAGAGAGAGAGAGAGAGAGAGAGAGAGAGGGAGAGATTTAAGGGTGTGATTTGATATAATTGGACAATAAACTGAAATCTAACAATAAACTGAATTGGACGGTAGATAACGGTACAATTAAATCTTGGTGTATGTGTGTGTGTGTGTCAGAATGAGAGAAGGAAAGAGAGAGAGAGAGAGAATAATAAAAAGGGCGTAATTTGTTTAAATCTGACAACAATCTTCATTAGAGGGTAGATAATGGTACAATGAAGATCGTGACCAAATAGAGAATTGATAATATTGGTTACCTTGAGCATAATGTGTGAGAGAGTAATAGAAATATAATATCATTTTTTCTAGTAGAGCTACTGACAAGACAGCTTAATAATTGGGATGGGCGCATTTTAAAATTACAATTTCATTTTTTATGACTTGAACTATAATCGCATATCATTTTGAGAATAATCTTAAACATTTTGTTTGTAATATATATTATAATTCACCGATTGTTTTCTGATTGGTAGATCAAGTGTCCATGTTTTTTGTTTTATCATTCACGTGATGTAGATCATAGCTTATCGAATTATGTCAAACACTTTTATAAGCTTTCTCTTCACTGTATTAGCTAAAGCGTATATCTACTAATAATTGTACCATAATTGCATTTGTGTCTCAATTGGTACTTTTGTACATATCTTGATCATATTTTCGAGCGGTGTGTATCGTTAAATTAGGAACAAGTGATGAACGTTTAAGCCTTTAGCGATTTATAAGGCCCTATGTTATAAGGAGAAGTGGAAAGAAATATCTGATTATAATTGTGATGTCTAGGCTAAAGAAAAACTTCAGACAGGAATCACAACTGAAAACACACATTGTAAGACTGCATACCAGATACCCTAAGAAAGAACTAAATTATTCTGCAACCTGATATCAAATACTGATTCCGTCTAAATTGAAAAGAAGCAAATAAGAGTTATTTAAACAGAGTTAAGCGTTGACAAAAAAGAAATGTTTTCAGGTGTGATTTGAATTTGGTAAGGGAGCATTCCTGCCCAAGGCTAAGAGGGAGTGAGTTCCAATAGTATTGATTTTCATGATATGTTTTATAATCGTCATGTAATAAAATATATGTTTTATTCAATAAAAACGTATCTTGTATTTATGAACTTGTATGTTACAATGGGGACTGATGTGGCAAGTTTCTAAAGAAAACTATTAAGAAAAAGATATAAAAAGGATCTCCTCCGTTTCATTATGAACCACTCTCACTGGTAAATTTCTAGATGGAGTTTTGGTATAATGTTCTCTATGTTTGTTGTATAGAACTTAAAGCCCCCTATCAGTGATTAGTAATCCCTCAAAAACTTATTTCAACATTTTATCTCTAGCAGCAAGCTGAATTTTTGTGCTAAATTTAAGATAAAAAGATTGTAGTTTTTCTTTCTGTGAGTGAAAAATGAGAGTTAAAATGACTATAATTTCGCTAATAATGAATATTTCGCCATCATACCTTCATGAAAGTTTTCAATCATGATTTTCTACAAAATTTAGGCCCTTTAACAATTTTTTTGAGATTCTCACCATGAAAATCACTGCAACGCCGTTGCATATATGAGGCGTCATTTCGAGTCCATTATTACCTGCGCTAATTAAGAATGCACACTTTTAACATTTAAGCCAATAACCCAACAAAGTATCAGAACAGTACGTTTTGCAATTAGTCTTTTTTTTTTTAAGATATCGTCCTCACATTCTATATCACATTACTGCATATGTCACGTTCCGCAGCGCGCGTTAGGCAAATCAGTTTCAGTTTCTGCTTAGAGTCTCATATTTCACAAATATTTCATGTTTTGCGATGATTTTACAAAATAAATAGCACAAATAAACACAAATTCTATTAACAGAGTAAGTATCTCATATTCAATTCAATTCAATTCAATTCAAAGTTTATTCAACACTCTTCATAAAAACATTTAAAACATACAAATACAGAATGGAGTTATAAAAAACACAAGCAAGTGATAACAAATACAATGGCAATTTATAAGAGCATTTGGGATAGGCAGAAAGGAAGGATTCCTTATATAAAAGCCTATCCCTCAAAACACACATACAGGAAAACGTAAAAAACAAAAGAACAGAACAAAAAAACAAAGAACATACTAAAACTTACTATCATGCACGATCAGAGTAAAAAAAAAAAAAAAAGAGTCAAATTTTGCCTATGCTATTAATAGTGATTATTATACTTATTTAACAGAAATTGTTTATATTTAATTTTAAAAAGATTGAGAGTTTTGCATTTTTTAATTTCCTGAGGTATACTATTTCATATTAATGGTCCTTTAAAAAAATAGTTAATTTTTCATACAAGTCGTTCTAATCTTGGGGAGGTGATAATTTAGGGCATTTCTAGTATCCATTTGATCAATGCATTAATTTAAAACACTGAACTAAAGAAGAAGACTGAAATATGGAGGGGTCTATTTGGTGAAAACTATGCTTGTAAGTTAAAGGCCCCAAAGCGTAGTTAATTTTACAATAGGCTTTTTATAAGAGGGAAAGAGCAATTAATGTAAATCACTGTAATATGATTTTTTTTTGTATAAAAGCATTGTTAGAGCTTTTTTCATTATAATACTGTAGCAAATTACATTATACAAGTAAATATGCATTACCGGTAAGAACTTGGATCACCTGTATAAATATTGTTTACCTGAACGCCTTGGCAACAGCTACAAATGACGCCTCTTGTACAACGAGCATGAGGCTGTCTGGCGGAGGCTCAACAAATTGTGTCAATCGACACACCCCTTCAGTGTTAATCATGTCCATCGGTTTTTATCTTTTCCCCTCAAAAATGGAGTAGCTATAGGAGCACAGAGACACGTTTCCTTCCTCAATCAATAGGGACTTTTAGATTTGCGTGGACTGAGACGTGGGGCTTCCTTTCAAGGCAGTGCATTAAAAGGACGTCGATCGTAGCATAAACCTATTGTCTTGGTGCGAATCTAAAAGTCCCTAATGATGAAGAGAGAAGGAGAGAGAGAGAGAAAGAGATATATAGAGAGAGAGAAGAGAAGAGAGGGAGAGAATGAGAGGGAGAGAAAGAGAGAGAAAGAGAGAGAAAGAGAGAGAAACAGAGAGAGAGGGAGAAGAGAAGAGAAAGGGGGATTGCAACGTAAAAATAAGATGGCTGTACCCATTGCACATCCTCACCCACTTAATGGATTTGTTTTCTTACACATTTCGTTCGCCTTAAACTAACGGTGTCTCCTAGTTACAAGTGTCCCCTCAAAGGCTGATTCCCCGCTACGCCGCTGTTTTAAAAAAAATAAATATTAGGCCTACCAAATAAGCTGAAATCCCTTTAGGCCCCTGTTAAAGAATAAGCCATGGAACTGCAAAGTATGTTTTTAAAAATAAGTGAAGAAAACAACTATTTTCGGAGGTGATAATCGGTGAGGGTGTTCCAGGTAACGGATCAGTGGGTGGATATCTCCAAGCTATAAACGTGGGTTTGGAGACGACACAAGGTGGTATCAGTACTCATAATCCCCAATCAGTACGCACTTAGGGAACTAGATCCTTTATCCTTTGAAAATAAAGATATATGGGTACGAATCTAGATAAGGCCTAAACAAAAAAAATATGTTGTATTGCCCTTTTTTTTTTACCGATTTTTTAGAAAAAAAGCACTTAAAACTGAGAAATAGGAGCCCAAAAAGGGAGTAAAAAAAAAAAAAAAAAAAAAATAGGTTTCTGACATACCGACCCATGTTTTGTCACCTAAGGGCAATACAACATCTTTTCATTTTTTAGGCCTAAAGTGTATTCTTGATTTGATGTGGAGTTTTCGTTATATGCAGTGGTCTATTTCACTAGGAGGCGCGATAGCTCAGTCGGTAGAGCAGTGGTCTCGTAATCCGTTGACCCGGGTTCGAAACCAAGTCGATGCGCTAGTGCCCTTTGGTAAGGCATTAATCCTCATTACCAGGTCCCTCGGAGAGGACCTAAAGCCGTCGGCCGTCTGGTTGCTTACTAACAAGCATTCATGCTTTCTTAGCAGTCAGGTAAAATAACCACCACATAACCACCACATATCTAGGCTCTCGTTCCAAGAGTTGAGGGGTTAGAAGCCCAACCCGGCACCAATGTCCGTTGGAAGGACAGTAATCCACATTTGCCACTATCCAGTCCGGTGTAAATGGATACCTGAGAGCCCGCAGTGAGAACAGTATTAACACTGAATGTAGCTACCCTGGGTAAATAAGACTATCTTTTGAAATTGATTAGCAATGTCATTATTTGCTCTTGTCGGAAAATTCTTGAATAGGAGCATCCGTGCTATTGGCCTGTTGGAAAATGGGCTTTACTCTCTGCACGTCCCTCACATGTTATATTTACTCTCGATTTTAGCTCACCTTTATATTGTCGTCCTTTAATATCGTCTTCTATTCCCGGTATCGCAGTTTCTCCCATTTGAATCTAGTGTTTATAACCATGAATAACGATATGAACATTAGCAAACTGATCAAATTCATGAAGAGTAAACTACAAATTTACTCGTAGGTTAATCTTGAATCTTTAGATGAATGCGTATAAAGGATACAAGAAATGGGAAATGGCAAATCCTTCTATCAACCTACTTGTATTTTCGGCACTTAGTTTTAATACCTGTCTCCACCTCTATAACAACGAGTGTAGGAAACAATTTATATCCACAGTCCACGCCGCAATATTCTACTTGATTTTGAACTAATGTTATAAACGCATGTCTTGTATCATATGAAATGCTTTATATCATTCTACAATGGAAACTCTTTCTCTCTAATAGGTAGCTTCTTTACACTTGTTGCAAAATGATGGATGTCTATACTTACAAATCCTCTAATGGCAAAGCCGAGAAGTACCTAAGTGCTTAGTTTGTATTCTTTGTAAAGCCATAATATGCGTCTGTAACATGCCGACTAAATACACCTTCACTTTAAATCGCAATCCCATTGTTGAAACAGAAAAGCAGTATTAACATATACAGATAGAAAGAGTGGAATTAGTTGAAAGCAAGATGAGAGTGGCATTAAACGTTTAATAAGGCATCGTTTACTTCATGTCCTTTTATACAAGGCGCCTTCTTCAAGATGTCCTTTCACTACAGAATCTTTAAATCTCTTCTAATACGCTTTCTCTGTGACTTTCCTAGGCAATTTTTCTCTCTTTTATCTCTGTCGCTCCATTTTTCTCCCTTCCTCTCTCTCGCTCCATTTTTTCTCTCTTCCTCTCTTTTGCTCTTTTTCTCTTTTTTTTCTTCTCTATCTCTCAATCCAACTCTCGATCTCACTCTTTCTCTCTATTACTATTACTTTTCCCCCTTTAAAAAAATAACGCCTTTTTCTTTCAGTTACAAAGTACTCAACATATTATAAAAGTATTACACAGCAGTGAGGGCGTTATCGCCTCGGGCGTGTCAGACTGTTCCAAAGGTATATTGTGTGGGTAGTTTTACTAATGCTCGAACAAAATGATGTGTCTTATTTGCTTTATAAGATGATTATTGTTTGTTTTTTGTTTTAATAAAATGATGCTTAATAACATGATTTTATTAATGACCGGTCAATAGTATTGACTAATGACCGGTCATTAGTTAAATTACGTGTAACTTAGTCAAAATAAATACCTGGTCACGTGTACGCTCTCAACCAATCATTTGATTAGAATCCGGCTTCATCATCTTATAACACTTCATCATGGACCTTTTGATGCACTTAGACAACAGCACAGGGCCATTAGTTGATCAAGGCCCACTAATACCATTCATCATTGCCATCAAAAAGGAATATCTTTATTCGCAACTTCAGATTCTGAAAAGGCACCAAAGCATCTATCGAACAAAAATTAAGGGAATGAAAGGATCACAGAATTGCACGATTTTACCGAAAGATATCCAATTGAGAAAGAAGATTCACACGCCCGAACATCAAGTACAGGCGCGAGTTTAATTGTGTAGGCTTCTGGAAGATTGAATCGAGAGGGGATGGTGAAATACTAATCAATGGCGAAGTGTTAGTCCACCAATCGAAGGGCCACTGGACTTACTCGGAAAAATCAAATGCGAATTTACAGGCTACTGGTAGGGGGTGGTCG